TGAATTTACAAATGTAAAATTTTAAAAACAGCAGATTACTGGCAACTACTGCTGCCGTTTTTTTTTTTTACTGTGAAATCAAGAAGAAAAACAGCAAAATACTGTAAAACGGTTTTTGTGTCACTATTGTGGAGGATAGTAGCATCTGTGTACAATTCCAAGATGAACTGAAGAGATGAAGAGTATTTGATGTTGTGCTGCATCTTCTCTTGTTTAAATGTGACTATGTAGTTACTAATGCAGTGAAAATCTGATTGCTAATTGTAAACACACATGTGAACAGTCATGCATTGAATGACTTTACTTATTTTATGCACTGAGCTTCATTTTTGTGAACTCAACATTGTATCATTTCATGAAATATGGTTATTTTTCATTAAGTTTAACAGTTCTATAAACTTCCGTATTTTTTACGGAAAAATTCTGGCAACCACAGCTGCCGGTAATGGATTTTTTTAACAGTGTAGAGTGCGTGAAATTTATTTGGTGCCATTCTTTATGGCTTAATGTTTAATATCTATCTTGTGGATTTTCAGAGATTTAATCACTGTTGACAGCATTAGTGTTGTGAATGTCTGCCTGTACATTCGGTGTGTTTGTTTTGCTTATGTTAATATTTTCTGGTTTGGAAAATCTATTTGTTTATTTATACTTTGATTTTGTATTTCAGTTTTTACTTTAATTACACTTAAACGCACTGACTATTACTGCTAGATTGTCATGCATCAAAGTAAACAAATTCATCAATCTCTCCTTTCTGGCTGATTTTTCTATAAAGTAGTTCTGTAGAAGGAACATGGGCATGGGCAAGTCTCATCTGTTAGTATGCTTTATGGCATTCTTATCTGGCATTTTGGCTCAAAAACGAGAAATCACTCTGCCTGACCTTCCAGTCAGCAGGAGATACTAATGTTTTGCTCACCATCGCCATATTGGTGTGATGTGACATGAAAACTATTAATACTATGGCTTAAATGTTTATGCACATGTATAAATGTGGATTTGGCATATACTTTGTGTTGCTAAAATCCATATTAATAAAGTTGCAAGCCAAAATCGCAGCATAAGATTTCATATTTTTATTCACAACTATAGGCATTTATGCATTCCAAGGGTTTTTGTGGGGGAGAAATTTTAGCAAAGTCCTTAAAGGTGTTCTCTAGCTAGATTCTAGATTGTGCATTCAGCAAGTATCTTAGGTATCTTGGTATTTAAAGGTATGTTTCAGTAGGGGTGCGTCACAGAGAAAACCATCACAGCATACTTGACAGCGTCTAGTTTTAGTATATAAAGGCGGTAACACACACTCACACCTCTCAGATTGCTCTTCAGAAGGCAGTACGACAGCTGTAAAGAGATTGGATATTTACACTTTTCCTCTTCAAAAGGTAATTTAAAATATTTGTATCCCATATTTCTACAACTACTTATTAATAATAGCCTAATAAGGCAGCAATTATTTTACGCCTCTTTATTTTACACTACTTGTTAAATAGACTTGTTCAGGCATAGAGTTGGCCATACTCAAATGTTTTTATTACAGATCTTGGATACAAAAGGAGTTATCAAAATTAGTTATCTTAAAGTGACTTAAGGCTAGCCAGTCAAGATATTTGTGGCTTAATCTAATATAAATAATGTCTCTTGACAAGAAACCAAGTAAAAATCTAATGTATCATTTACTGTACCTTTTTAAAAAAAAAAATCCACATTCATTTTGGACCATGGGACTTTATAGTCATCATCGTTAGTTGGTGTTAGCCTGTTAGTTAGCCTAACAGTTAGTTACTGTTATTATTATTGTTACTGATAGTAAAATTATCAAAAGATGCCACATTTTTTGGTTTTAATTTTCATTAAAAGTGTTTTAATATTTATAACAATGATCCCACCCCCCACCGGGAGTAATGTAACATCAATCTTAAATTAAAATTAAAATCTTAAATAGGTAACACTATATAATAACAGTAAATAAATAATCGTGCACTGACACGTAAACTAAACGTTACTTCATTATGATTTAAGGCATGCATTGATTAATCATTTGAACTGAGAAAATATTCATTTATGACCACATTTTAGTCATATCACAGTGATGATGTTCACTACAGTGTATGTTGTGTGTAACCATTATATCTAATATACCTTTTATCACAATATAACTAGTTATATATTGTGAATCTATTATTTACAATTTTATCATGTAAAAAAAAACATGCCAAGTTTATCCAAAGAAGCTGTTTCTCTAATAACGTACACATGCACATTGTGTGTCATAAAGGTACATGTTTGTACCTCTTAAGGTTTCCTTTGCATCTCTAAATTAGTGACCTGCACATTTGTATTTTTTTTTATATTAATACCTTTAAGGTACAAAATGTGGAGCTGTTCGGTCCAAACGTGTATCTTTTGAAAAGGTACCAAACTAATTTACACGGCCCACACAAGTCAGTTTCAATAAATAAGTCAAAGCTAAGCATAACAGTTGGAGATGATGAACAAAATGTCATAAGAGGAAGTTTTGAAGGGGACAGAAATAATACAGCTAAATGGCACTTGAAGTGTAAACCCTCCGGTCAGGG